ATGTATTCTTATAATTTTTTAATCACTATAAGAATAACTTATGAGAAACTTTGTATTAAATTTTCAAGTATTTTGATAGGGCCAAAAATATTTTATCGACACTTCAAAAATAAATGTCAAAAAAATTGAAAATTTCAGTTACCTATAAATATCTCAAAAAAAGTCAAAATATTTTGAAAATTAAATCATGTAAGGAAAATGCCAATCTAAATAACTGTAAAATTTTCAAGTGTCTACGGCTTATACTTTTTGAATAATAACAAATGTTTAAAATCGTTTGAGGATAAATCGTTATCGTAACGCTATTTCGTAAAAATTTAAAATTCAAAAGCACTTAGAATTTTTAATTTTTTCAGCTACAATAATAACAACTCATAAGGAACCTTGTATACATTTTCAAGTTTTTTTGGTGATCCAACATTTTTTTACCGACACTTCAAAAAAAATCGAAAATTTCAGTGGTCTATAAATAAGTCAAAAAAATTCAAATTTTTTTGAAAATTAAACTGTATATAGATGTCACTAACATAAACATTAGGTAAAAATTTCAAGTACTCGTATTTATAGTGATTAGTTTTTGAATTACAACCATATAAAAAAATTGATTTGGTCAAAAACTGGTTTTGTGTAAAAATTCCCGTTTTTCTGTCATTTTTTTTTGTTTTTCTCGATTTTTTTGAAAACTGTTGGAAAATATTTACTTTTGACTTCTATAGGTAATGCACCAACGATATTCACTTTTCCATCGGAAACCACCCCCAAAGTTTGAAATTAAATCATTATTTCGACTAATTATGCTGTACACAAACAACAAAAAAACACATCATTGTAAAATCAATACATTCATCACTTCGTTCAGAATCTAATAAGCAATGCTACCTATATCTTATTGTGGACCATTGGTTGTTTTAATACATTCAAACGTTAATGCAAATCATTTCGTTTTCATTTTGGAATATTCAAAAACAATATTTCGTTGGGGATTTTTTTAACCGTAGACCAGGCAATATCTAACATTTTTTTATTATTAGAAAAAAACATTAAATTTTTCATAAAATATTTGATTGAAGTTTGTTATAATGGTCGTCAAATTGAATAGCGACCAGAATACTGAGATGATACTAATAAAAAGTGATATATGCTTAAACTATGGTTTAAAAACAAATAATAAATAAACCGCTTACTAAACATGAGTAAGATTGACATAATATTACGTACTCTGTTAAGTTCACTACGGTGCACGAATTAGTTTATCCATATACAAACGCTTTACATACTTATGTATTTTATCACGTAAATCAATTGATATTATTAAAATTAAAAACAATTTCCATACGCCCACTTACCCAAGTTATCAGTTAGAAATTGAATTTTTTTTTTCAATTTTATTATGCGGTTGAATAATTATGGTTGTCTTATAATATCGTATAATGTATAAGGATAACATTTCTAAACTCACCATTTTTTTTGTAGAAAATCAATTCCAGTTTTAGTTCAGCTTTGCATTCTAATGCCTTTTCAATTTGTGTAACGTGGTCGTCACTAGTATCCGGACCAAATAGAAACTTACAGGCGCAACCCTTCTGCATAATTTGCGCCCGGGCAAACCCAGTGAGTTCGCAGAATCCGTCTGAACAGTACACTATCGGATACAGTGATGGCACTTGAGCATTTCCGAGCACGAAATTACTATCTGCAAGACAACAAAACACAATATACAATATATCATTCCACATACATTATACATATACACAATAATTACAACATAATAATATATTATGATCCCACAACAGTGTAAATATTATTTGTATACACTTTAAATTCTATCAGAACAGGCATATCATTCAACTAAGTAATATTAAAAATATTACATTATTATATTTTATTATATTATTAGAATTATATTATATCGTGAATAATAAAAAAAACTGCTTTGTAAATGCTAACGAGTCATACAATACGATTACCCAAAAATGCTCACCCCCTGCCTTTTTTCTATAACGTTAAGTTAAATACCAAAAACTGGTAACTACTATTTCAAATATTAAGAAAGTACTTACAAACTTTCAAAAATATTATCTGCTGAATATTTCAAAGTAAAAAGGGTGGTTCTCATAAGAAAACAAAAGTTTGAATCGCCACAAAACAATTTATAAATGGTACAAAACAATTTCAAATATTCAAAAATGTGGTAAGTAAATAATATGTTTGGAATAATACATTATATTTATTTGATAACAGTTATTATAGTACATAGTGATAAGCCAGAATCGTTACTTATTGGTTACTTTTAGTAACAATGCTATTGTTGGAGCATAAACCTAAATTTCGAGAACGCTGTCCCATAAGTGTTTTGTGTAGGCTTATCCATTATATTTTATCATATATGATTAAATTTGTATTCGATGATAAATCATTACATATGTACGAAAAACAATTTTGAGCGAAAACTATCTATCAACCTAGAAGTTTTGATGTCATGTTTTCCGATTTTGCTATATTAAAGTAATTTATTATACTATTAATATTATGGTAGATTAATTTAGTTTTGGTCTAAAACGTTGGGTTTATTATGTACTATCTGTATGACCCGACTACACCCAGGGTAAAATAAACAACTATTATAAAACACAGTATATATGTATCGATTTCAGTGTATTTTAGATCAGGTATTATAGCTTTTGGTTTATTTCCAATTAGGGTTTGAAAGTACTCTTTAATCTTTTCTGATATTTCTAAGAACGATTTCTGAAATGTCGAGACCATCAGTTAAGTTGTATTTGAGTCTTTAGGCAATAAATATTTAGATCAATAATTGTGTAAATAAACTCTCATATTTGTTTATAGATATAAATTGTTTACTTGATCTCATAAACTCAACACTCTGATGCCTGTTTTAACCTCATCTGTCCGAGCAACCAATGACAACCATTTATAAACGAAATATTTATTTTGAAAATACATAAAAAAAATAAAAAATAATAATAACGATTTCAAAAACCCCACAAACCTCCTGAAAAAATAACTTCTTATCGCTCTATAAGTTTACTCCCAACATTATCAAAAGTATTTAAAAATATCCTATTAAATAGACTTATATCACTTGCTATTACGGCAAAAGTTGTCCCTGACACTCAGTTTGGATTCAGACCAATCACTCTACCACTCACCAATTCTACAGAGTAGTTGACACTATCTCAGTTGCTCAAGAGAAAAAACACTACTGCGCTGCCGTCTTTTTAGACGTTGTACAAGCGTTTGATAGGGTCTGGTTTGATGGCCTACTTTTCAAACTTAAAAAATCTCTGCCTGGCCCTTACTACCTTTTGATAAAATCATATTTGAGCGATCATACTTTCGTCGTACATCAGAACTCGAGCCACTCAAACTACTTCAATATCTTAGCCGTAGTTCCTCAAGGCAACAATATTGCTCACTGCTTATGCAATATCTTTACACATGACATTCCTAAAACTTCCTCTACCGAACTCGGTTCCTACGCGGATGATACGGCAATTGTAGCCTCCAATGAAAACTCAATCACTGTTTCTAGTATGTTAGAAATAAACCTCAACATAATCGACCTCTGGACAAAAAGATAGAAGTTCAAAATTAATGAATCAAAGTTTTCCTTCATTACATTCGCCCCTTAGTCACAATGAACAACAACACAATCCCTTCCTACGCAGAAGTTATTATTAGAGATCTTATTCTTCAGTAATCAAGCTTAATAAGTACCGGAGATCGGTACCAGGTAACACCTTCAAACCTTAAAAAATAAAAATAAAAATAAACAAAAAAATTTTTTCTCTCTCTTTTCCATTGTTATTCTGTCACGTTATAGGGTGTTACAATTAGGTATTCTCCTTAATCACACAAATCATGATATCTATTTTCTTTTTACTTGTCATTTACCAAACCTACTTATTATACAAAAAATGTTTATAGATTGTAGATTTATTCAATAAAATAAAAATAAAAAGATTTTTCACAGAGCAAAAAAACATCGACATAATAAGGAAAATACATCAAAAAATAAAAAATTAGAAAATATAATATGTCTATATAATATCGCAGCTTAAAAAGAGTCAAAATCATTATTGTTTTAAAATTAATACATTAATCGCTACGTTGAGAATCTAAAAAAGGGTGATGCTTGGTGAATCACTTTGTAGACAATATCGATAGGACTAATATATATATATATATATATATATATATATACAGGGTGATTTTTTTATCATGAACCACTCATTATTTCAAAAAGTATCAATGTTTTTGAAAATATTTTTTTACAAAGTTTCGTGTTGTTAAAAAAACAACGTTTTTATTAAAAAATTATGTTTTTTAATATTTTTTATCCTTATAATTTTTTAAGTTTTTTACTTTGTTGAATGACAGCCTAGAGTTATAATTTCATATTCCAAAGCAGAATATGTTTCTAAGTATTTTGATACGTAAAAATCGAATTTTGGACGAATAGTTTATGAGTTATAAGTATTTTAAGTTTAGACAAGCGGAGTAGTGGACAAACATTTTGCGGAGTAACCCTGTACCACTCTACTCCGCCATCAAAACTTTAAATACTTATAATACATATTATACCGCATATTTTGATGATTTTAACACATATGTATGCGCATATTTGAGTAATTTTTAGCGCATAAAGTTCCGAGCCTGGCTTATAAGTTATAACACTTATAACTCATAAACTACTCGTCCAAAATTCRATTTTACGTATCAAAGTACTTAGAAAAATATTCTGCTTTGGAAAATGAAATTAAAACTCTAGGTTTCCATTCAAAAAAGCAAAAAACTTAAAAAATTATAAGGATAAAAAATATTAAAAAACATAATTTTTTAACAACATGAAACTTTGTAAAAAAATATTTTAAAAAACATTGATATTTTTTGGAATAATGAGTGGTTCATATAAAAAAATCACCCTGTATATAGCCACCTAATTAACATTTTAAAAAATAAATATAATAACGTTTTATGAAGAAACCCAAAGCGTAGCAGTTACGTTAAGTTAATAACGGTCATTAATTATTTGTATTAATGCATTAAAAACATGTAAAACTAAACATATATGCTAATATCAACTAAAACACGTAACTTTATAGCATAACGTGTCTTATATATAATATGCCGTACCATATCAAGCTATATTATTACATGATTATTCCATTCATTATTTATACGAAGTAATTATTTAAACAATAAACACCGAACACTTTTTCTCAAAATATAAGATACATGTCGAACGTCAATAGTTTAACTTTTAATGGCTACCTATCATTATACTGACTTTATGTGACATTATGTGATACAAAGTTCTAAGGTATTCAATCATTATTTTAATATATTTTAAGTATCAAAAAAATAATTTTTGGATTCTAAGTGGAGTGATGTGAATGTATTAAGGTTTATAACGGAGTGTGTATTTTGTTTTTACATATATATTTTATTTATTATTTTGACAATATTCAAAAGTAGAAAGTTTTAAGATCCTCAAAAAATAACTAAAATAAATATACATATGAAACACTTAAGAAACACAAGTTTTCGGAAAATAAAATTTTGTTGATATTAAAATTAAAAAAATAACAGTTAAAACTTTTAATATTTTTACAATTAAAATTATAAAATATAAACTAATATATTATCATTCTAGACTAAATGAGAAAATTGTTTTGATTAAACATTTATATATTACCTACATTTTTTTATATATTTCAATAATAAGTAATTAATAAAATCACTCAGAATCACTAAATCATAATTMGTAAATGTATAATTATTTATTAATTCAACTTTTCTAATTCATCAACAAATTTAATACAATTCTAACAGCCACACGACAAAAATACCTTTGTTATTATAATATTATAAATTAAATTAATGTAATTAATTGTTTATAGAACTTAAGATTTGAAACAAAACCCTTTAATTTCAGTCATAAAATAAATAATTAATAATACTCAATTAATCAACTATTAAATGCCGTTTAATAATGAATTATAGTAAAAATATGAAAACTAGGAATATCTTATTGTACAAAAAATAAAAACAAAATGTATAAATGTAAGAAATAACTGTAAATAACACAACATTTATAATATTATATTTTAGTGGTATTATATAATTATTTATTGTAGGTATATCACAGTGGTGTAGCCAGGGGGAGGCCTAGGGGGCTGCAGCCCCTCCCCCGAAATGTTAATAAAATTTAAAAATTATTGTAATGGTCTACAAATATTCAATCAAAAAGTCTTAAATTGTATTTTACTAATTTTAAAAATTGATCAGTTCCCCCCCCCACCCCCCGAAAAAAAATCCTGGCTACGCTGCTGGTATATCATGATACAATGAGTGTCAAATAGTAAATGAATAATATGCTTCCCTCAAAATATTTCAATAATTATTATTTTATGACGCATTAATTGTATAGATTAATACTTTTTTGTTACTATCAATTTTTGACAGAATTAACAACAGATTAGAAGACGTCCACGTCATACTGTCTAACAAGTAACAATTCATATTGTATTAACTATGTATTTTCTTATGGTATTCATGCAGGTTCAGAAAGCAAACATGAGTACTTCAAAAGTGCATTATATGTTGATCTAAAAGAAAAACTTTGCATTATAATATCGTTAACGAGTGGATTGTGCAAAAATGGGCACCTATACTATGATGACTAAAGCTGACGGAAGAGAAAAACACACGCTATATTATTTTGTTACTAAGTTAAATAAAAATGTTTATGAGTTTGTAGCAAACTAAAATGTGTTATTAAAAATACACAACCGTGACTTCTATTACAAAGATTTGTTTAAAAAATGATACTAACATTTAGGTAAATAGAACAAACTAGGATTCGAAAAGTTAAATATTATTTACTTGACACTGATTTAAATCAGTGTTAAAATATTGATATACTTAATTTTTAATTTATAGCTAGGTAGTATAAAAAATTTTAAAATCTAGACATTCATTTTTACTGGACATAATATTACTGGTGATGAAAAAACTATAAATATTTTCGTGGTTAAGGATGAGAATATACGGGTGGATATTTTAAAGCTAATGCCTGATAGTACCTACTGTTTTACAAATATTTTATAAACAATACTGACATTAATTTGTGTGTTATAATATTGTATAATGGCACTTGAATTTGGGATTAATATTAGAATATCTAGCCTTTAAACTTTTAATAAAAATAATTTTGTTTTTGAATACGAAATATTAAGCCTATTAATTTTTTTTCCTAACCATATTTTTTTTAATTTTTTTTTAAATTTAATTTAAGTGGAAAAAATGTACAATCAGTATATAAAAAAAAACAATAAGTTATTGTKTTGACATCTATTTAAACCGTATTTAAAATTTAAAAAATTATAATTTCTAATTTATCATAGTAAATTTAAAAAAATATATTATAATTACAGTATTCATATACCTACCATAAT